CCCCCCCCCCCCCCGGCCAACACTTTCGCTCAGTTTTCAGCATTTGCCTCAGGTGCCTCTTTTTTCTCAGCATGGCCATCAGATTTAAGAAAAGATTTTTTAAAACTCAAAGTAGGCCTACATGTAACTGATGAGCAGTGGTTTAGAGAGTGGGGTGCCTCGTGGCAAGTCGTCCACCCTGGGCGGCACTTTTTCTTTGTTTTGAGGGGCGGAATTTTAGGCCAAATAACGAGATCTTTTCTTTAGAGGGAGGTGGCAAAAAAAGCTTGACCCCACCCCCGACGGCAACGCTGCTGCACATTAAGAAATACTTTTTCGGGTGGGGGTGGGGTGCAAAATGTGGGCTGCCCGGGATGTCTTAAGCGGGCAACAGCATTTGAAGTTAATATCTATTTGGGATGATATTATTTCACCTGTAGGACCTATAATGTTTGATTGTGACTGCGACCAGGGGCGTAGTGAGACATTGTGCTGCCCGGGGAGGAGTTTCATTTTAGATTTGCATCATCTTACGTTTAATTCGAAGAGCAACAATGATATTTAATTTGGGTCGCCTGCGCCACTTCTGACGGGGATATTTAGGTCGTTGGGAACGCTTCTGCACTACAACAATGCAATACTTGCGTAATAAATCGCCACTTTCATACATTGCATGCTCAGTGATGATAAGATCTGTCCCAGATAACGCTCAAGAACTACTAATGTGCGGTGGAAACCGATGTTTAAAATCAGGGGCCAGCACCCGTCTTGGAATAAAGTATTAAAGCGTCATTTTAATTTTGATATTTTGAATATGCTAATTAAATTAAATAGTTTTGGAGCCGCAGGGAGGGTGTATTGTATAACTAAGTGGCTATTCGCACCCGGGTATCAGAAGTGAGAGGTTGGGATTTAAAAAAAATATTTAAAATATTATTGTTGGGTTTGTAAGACAACATGAGGTATGAAATGAAAGATTATTGAATGGACTATGTGTTTGTAAACTTACTTCTTTAGTTTAACTAAAATAAACTCTACCACAAATGAACTCCGATAGGGATTTAGTCTAAAGGGACCCGGGTCCGAATAGCGGCTATGCGGCAATGTTTATAACCTTACTAAATGCAAAAGGGGATTTTAATATACTGCACAATAATGAATGCGTAAAATTTCAATTTGTTATCTTGAAGAAAATACAATTGTATCAATTTGTTGAATATAATTATCGAATTACACAATATAATCCATGTTTAAGATTTTAAAAGAAACCAAGGAAGAAAAACGAAGTTGACGTTAAAGTAGTCCCTAGGGATTGAAACCCGAACCCATTGAGCAGCCAATGAAAACGATGTATATCTCCATTTGTT